TTGACCCCCTCAGATCCTGCTGGTGCTGGGTCCAGTCGCCTGCCCCTGGATGGGCCCCAGGCACCCCTCTCCAGCACCCTACATCCCCACCCCCCCGAGGCTCAGTGGTGACACACTGTGCCGATCTGTCTGCGGGCCATGTCCGGGAAGGCCCTCCATATTCATGCCAGACAGCACCCTGGAGTTGTGCTGCGGCCATCGGCCGGTCTCCGGCCTCACCTGCCTGCACCCTCAGGCCCCGGCCGGGCGAGGAGTGGGGCTCCGGGCTGGTGGGGCGCTGCTGCAGGCCCTGTGGTTATTGCCTGGTGGCCTGAGACCCATCCCGCGAGGCCCCCCCACCCCCGGCTGCGGGAACAGGGGCGAGAGGAGTGGTCCGGGACCCGAGGTGAAGGGCACAGGCCAGAGGTCATGAGAGATGGAGGTGGGGCGGGGAGGATGTATGTTAATTAAACACCAAATAGGAGAAAACAAAATCTGAGGTCCATGTGCATTTCAACTCCCCCTCCTGGCAAGGTCACAGTGATCTAATGCGGGGGGATGCACAGGTCTGGCTGGGGGATAGGGACAGAGGTGGGGGTCCTGAGGGACAAGGAGACGGGCAGAGATGGGGGAAAAACCAGCATCCTCGGTCCCGACGGGGCCAGGCAGCTTCCCCACTTTCCCACGTGCAGATCGAGGGGGCCACCTCCAGTACTTGGCTTTTGGGGGTACAGACGGGACGGGGAGGAGAGGGATGAGACAGAGCCAGACCCGCCGCGGGCTCACCAGGGCCTCAGTTTCCCCAGCAGAGATGTGGGAGGAAGGGAGAGAAGTGGACGGGATGAGAGAGAGGAGGGGGAGGGGAGGAGGCGGCGGGGGGCGTCGGGAGAGGCAGGGCCGGGACAGCGGTGGCGGCGGGCGGGCGTCCGTGCTCACATGAGGACGCATTTGCCCTTGATGCGGTCTGTCCTCTTCTGCTTGCTGGAGCGCTTACCGTCGATGTTGAGGCTCATGTTTCGGCGCGTCTCCAGCGTGAGCAGCTCCTGAAAGAGCTCCTTGACGTTGTAGTTCATCTTGGCCGAGGTCTCCATGAAGGCGCACTTCCACTCCTGGGCCACAGCCTGGGCCTCGCGGGTGTCCACCTCCCGCTGCGTCTCGTCGCACTTGTTGCCCACCAGCATGACGGGGATGTCCTCCACGCTGCCCTTGATCTGCACGATGAGCTGGTAGATGGGCCCCAGTTCCTCCAGCGACTGCTTGCTGGTGACGGAGAAGACCAGGACGAAGGCGTGGCCCTTGGAGATGGACAGCCGCTGCATGGCCGGGAACTGGTGGCTGCCCGTGGTGTCGGTGATCTGCAGCGTGCACACGCTCTTGTCGCAGCTGATCACCTGCCGGTAGGTGTCCTCGATGGTGGGGATGTAGGTGTCCCGGAAGGTGCCCTTCACGAAGCGCAGCACCAGTGAGCTCTTGCCCACGCCGCCCGCCCCGAACACGACCACTCGGTAGTCGTTGCTCTGCTCCGGCATCTTCCACGCGGGGGTGGGAGTCGGGGCCAGCTGCTAGAACCCCAGACCGACCCTGTACGGAGAGGAGTGTCAGAGGCAAGAGGCCACCAGATCGGGAGGGGACAGTTCAGGGCCAGGGTGGGGAGAGAAGGGGCGGCTTCTCAGAGGAGGTGGATTTCTCCTGCATCCTGGGAAGGCCCTTCTGGTTGGTTTGGCTGACTCTGCGATTCTGCCCTGCATGCAGGCTGGGGGCCAGCCCCCTCTGCTTGCTTCCCCCCCACAAAATCTGGGGCCTACTCTCCTTCCCAGGGGACTCTGGGCTGCAAGAGGCATGGAGAGGCCAGCGTGCGTGTGCACGAGCTCACTTCCCCACCTGCATGCTCCCGCCGCCCCCTCAAGCTGCACTGGCTGCTCCCTCTCTTCCCAGCGTGGCTCCTGGAAGCCAGCAGGCCTGGCTCTGCGACCTGGCCAAGCCAAGCCACTTTGCCACTCTGAGCCTCAGTTTCTTCCTCTGCAAAATGGGTGAAATGGTGCCTCTCTGCAACAATCACCAGCTTCCTGCTCCTTCCTCAGCCCAGAGGCTCCTTGGTGGGGTGTCTTTAAAACGCAAATTGCAGGGCCTATGCCCCCGGAAGGGATGAATCAGTTGGCCCAGGCCACGCCACGGGAACTTGCATTTTATTTTTATTTATTTATTTATTTTTTGTGAGGAAGATCAGCCCTGAGCTAACATCCGTGCCAGTCCTCCTCTTTTTGCTGAGGAAGACTGGCCCTGGGCTAACATCCGTGCCCATTTTCCTCCACTTTATATGGGACGCAGCCTCAGCATGGCCGGAGAAGCGGTGCGTCGGTGCGCGCCTGGGATCCGAACCCGGGCCGCCAGCAGTGGAGTGCGCGCACTTAACTGCTACGCCACGGGGCCGGCCCCCTGGGAACTTGCATTTTAAAGCTGCTCTCCTCCCCTCATCCCAGAAGTGTGATTCTAGTGCTGGAGGCCCAAGCATCACAATTTGCAAATCACGGCACTGATTTCCAACAGCAGCCCAGGCTGGAGATGAGAAAACTGAAACTGAGCCCAAATAGAAAAACCCCACTCCCTAAACTCTGTCCCCAGACTATGCTCTGGCCTGTCCTGGCCGCTCATTCAGGTCTGATGCATCCGCAGGACTCTCATCATCTCTCCCCTCTCCTGTGCTCAGAGAGGTCGAGTGGCCTCCGTAGGTCACACAGCACAGCACTTTCTGAAATGACGGAGGTGGGGGAAGAATCTTGGGCTGCAGGCGGGAAGGCAGAAGGCCTGTCTCCAACATCCGTGCCCTCATTTATAGAAAGCAGCAGAGACCCCTTCCTTCCCAGCCGTCCCTGAGGGCCCCTCAGCATGGGGGGTGGTCTCCAGTGGGAGAGAGAAGGCACGATAAGATTGCACTTGGCCAAGTCACTGCCCTCCGGTGTGTGTGTGGGGGGGGGGTGTAAGACCCGATGGTGTGGGCCTGGTGGTGAGAAGCCGGGCAGGTAAGTCTGTGTCCCCGAGCCTCGGTTTCCTCATCTGTGAAATGTGAGCAGCCCCAGTGCCCCTCCACGGAGTTGCTGGGACAAGTGGTGTCATAAGCTAGATAAAGCCCTTGGCCAGGTGCCTGGCACACGGGAGCCTCGATAAAGATGGACCGTCTTGTTTATCAGTCACAAGGGCTCAGGGAGGAAGGCACGTGGCTGGTGCGGGGGTGGGAAGTTGCACGTTCCGAATGAGCAAAGGTACCAGGTTGTCAGAAAACGATAAAATAACAGTGAACACATACCCCACAAATTATGCACCTGGCAAACTCTGAGTAGCTGTCACAGTACTAACTAGAGTTGGCCGTCAGGCGTGTCGGTGACACGCGTGGCAATGCTCAGCACTGTGAGGAGGCTGGGGGGCCGGCTGGCGAGGGGTGCCGGCCCGCTCTGCTGTCACTGCTATTTTCTGGATGGGCGCCCCGAGGAACGAGCCCACCAATGTGCAGCCAGGCACCACCACGACAGGCCTGGGGACCCAAAGTGGCCGGTGACAGTTGGTTCTGCAGCCCCAGACCCAGACCAGGCCTCGCTCTGGGTGCAGACCCCCTGGGAGGGCTCCAGGCTCATCAGCAGGGGTGTCCTCCAGGAGGGGCCCGCTGGATTCCTGACGAGGAACCCCCATTCAATACCTCCCAAGTCCACGCCAGGCACTCACTCACCTGGTGCTGTTGGAATCTCACCCTCGCCTCCTGGGGTGGCGGGGGAGGTCACGGGCACCCAGGCTCAGAGGGGGAGCACGGGCTCAAGGTCACAGAGCAGGGAGATGGCAGGGCAGAGCAGGATCTGAACCCGGCCCTGGTTGGCTACTCAGCTGGGGGGCCTCCCCCTGTGCAAGGCAGCCCACCCTGAGACCCCTGGGGACCAGGTGAATCGGCCGAGCCCAGAGTCTCCAAGCCCAGCCCCTTAGGTTGCAGTGACCTCAGGAGCAAGACAGCAGGCCTGACCCAGAGGAGGGTCTGGGGGGGCAGATGCTTGACCCAGTGGGCCGGAGGGTCTGACCTAGGGACCACCTGACTAATGAGGGGTTTGATGAGAGGCCTGCTCCAGGGGGCCTGAGGGAGGGGAGGCACGCTGGGGGGCCAGCCCAGGGCTCCCCTTGGCCAGGGAGGATCTCAATGATGGGGAGGGGCTCCTGAGTGAGGGGCTGGAGGGCTCAGCGGGTGTGCGGCGGGGGAGCCGGGCGCAGGGCCCACCCGACTCCTCCTGGAGGAGGGGGCCTGACGGAGCGGGACGACCAAGCCCGGGAGGGGCCCAGGGCTCGGGGGAGGGGCTGGCCTGGCCGCGGGGCTCCCTGTGAGTCCCCGGGATAGGGGCTGCTGAGAGGGCGCCGTCCACGGTGGGCACAGAGGGGGTCCCGGTGGAGCGGCCCGCCCGGGGGAGGAGGAGGAGGAGGAGGAGGAAGAGGATGGGGAGGAGGAGGATGGGGAGGAGGGGGTAGAGGGAGGGCCCGAGGGTGGGGCTCGGACAAAGGAGGGCGCGGGGAGGCCCGCGGGTGGGATGCGCCAGGGCCCGGCCCCCCCGCCCGGCCGCC